CACCCATTATTATCAATGCATCTTGATTGCATGTTCGATCTATCTCCGACTGTAAAAGTTGGTAGAAATCATCTATTTCTTCTTCTTTGGCTCTGGTTGTTGGTGCATATATCTGAATGATGGTGGTATTCACTGGACTTCCTTGTAAGCGTATGGATATAATCCTGTCACTCACGATGTTGCGCTTCAAGATGGATCTAGAAATTACTTTTTTTACTATGAAGGCACACAGTTCAAATCCACCAATGCTCTGCTGGAGAAGGGGGAACAATCTCCTCCTGTACCAGTCAGATCTGATTTGACAGTACACATACAAATAATAATAATTTAAAAAAAAATATTAAACAACACTTGACCCATCATAACACAGTGATTCTGTTTTTGCAGATGTTCTCAAATAGTGATGAAGCTGTAATCAATAAAAAACTTCCCAAAGAACTTCTATTACGGTAAGTCTATGATTGCTGATTTATGTTGGTTTTTTGGTATGTATTTATTGCCTAAAATTATCTATTACTTGTATGTGTATATATTTGCTGACACAAATTTATTCTGTTACATTAATTACCATTATTAATAGTAGTAGTCCATGTATTATTAACCCAAAAGTGCGACCTCTGGTAATTTGAATCCACTAGCAACTGTAGAACGATGAAGTCTCCTGATGTGAGTCCTGAATACCTGCTGGAAAGTTAGCTGAGAGTGTGTTTTGTGTTGATGGCAATGAATTGAATTTTCACTATACTGTATATTAAATTTATTGATTGTTTTTGTGAACTTTCAAATTAGTTGATAGGCTTCATATGTGTGTATGTGTATATATAGTAACTAGACTATTATCAGTTCTTTTGTTAAATATACTTCATATTTTTTAGTTATGAATCAAAGTATCTGAACAGTTTTCTCTCTCCTAATCTATACCTTTTGGACTGCCAAATGAACAAATAAGTCTTGGAGAAAGTGCAGCCAGAGATGCATAAACTTGGAGGCAAAGATGATAACGTTTCATCTCATACTTCAAACATGTTGCTAGAAGGGACTATTCTTTGGAGAAGGACATGGTGCTGGGTGTGAGAGGTGGTGAAGGACTGGAAAGACACTCAGGTGGATTGACATGGAGCCGCAGTGCGAGGATGGCACAGGATAGAACAGTGGTCAGATCTATTATTCATAGGGTCACTTATGGTACCCACAACAACCTCACAAAAAGATGCTATTCTTTTTTCTTAATATTTTTAGTCACTGTTGATAATTTTACTGTAATAACTGTGGATGAGCTATGTCTGTCATGGCCAAGACAGTTGTCATTGTTCAGGCTGAAGAAAATTCCTGTTCCAACCAGCTTTAGTTACTACTGATCATTGTTAAATCTCAGTGACTTTTTCCTTCAACCATTACATAACTGTCTTCCAGGCAGTGGTTCAACTATGGGTCTCTTACACTTAACTTCTCATTCTTTGATGTAGACTAAAGGATAAACTCTTATTTGATGCTAAGGACAGATGTATAAAATATCAAGCCTGATCATTTAATTAATTTTTTAAAACTTTTATACAGATGTGGCATCATCATTGTAAAAAAGAGCAAGAGCTATATGAGATGGCCATATCTGACCTTTACCAGTTTTACAGAGGAGAGCTGTCCCCATCAACAGCACAAAACCAAATCTGTTAGGCATTCTTCGTAACTCTTACTTATCCCAACACCAGTGCTATTGCTTTACTGGGTCCAAAATCTGCAATAGCTCACAAACCATATAGGCTACAGCTTCAAAAATGTGCTTAGAGGTGCCTCAGGCTTCAGCCTCGCTTTATTTAGCCTACTATTACAAAGCTCTCAGTCCTTCTAATTACGGCTCTTCTGTCCCATTTACTACCCCCGAAATCTTCCAACAAATACTTCTGTGCTATAGCAGTCCAAAGGTGTGCCCTCAGGCTTCCATTGTGACTGATAATAGGTGCTGCACCCTAGTCTGACTGGTGCAAAGATCTCTAGCCCCAATGGCTGTACTACATTTTTTTGCTTCTTTGTTGATGGAAAAGATCCTCCTATTTTGCTGGTGGATCTTCTCAATTGAATGGCAAGACTATCCCGTCCCCTTGTGGATAGGCTAATGCTTCCTGTTAACCTATTACCCCCTATCCACATGGCAGAGTCAGGCAATGGCTAGGAAAGCCATTTTAAACAAATACCATAATCATGTTAATCTACATCTGATTGGCGAAAGCAATTCACATGTCAATATCATAGTTTATCATCATAGTATCATAGTATATCATAGTTTAATATCAATAGAACCAGAAATGATGGCGGGGGGGGGGGGGGTTGTGGGTGGATATATTTGGGAATAGTTCTCTTTTTTTTTAATTTTTTTTTTATTTTATTATTTTGTGAGTGTGTGTGTGTGTGTACTGTCAGATCGGATCTGACTGGTACAGGAGGAGATTGTTTCTCCTTTTCCAGCAGAGCATCTGGATTTGAACCGTGCACCTCTGGGATTGTAGTCAGCTTCTTGCCACTAGGCCACCAGAGCTCGCCGGAATAGTTCTCTTATGAAGTGCCATCAAGTTGACTCCAACTCTATTGAAGTGCTTTCTTTCTGGCCCTGTGTCAAATACTGAACAAGTATTTTATTGACAATTTATCACAGGTACTCAAAACCGTATATAGAACTTTTTCTCCTCAGTTCTGCTTCTTCACCATAATTAATGAAGGGAGTGACAAAATGTGTACTACTACTGTGCATAGTGGAGCGTGGTACCATTCTAGGTTTTAGAAGCAGGCAAGATTAGGAGTATTTGACTCCTACTGTAGGGTAGTGAAATAAATAGCTCAGACTTCAGAAGCAGGAAAAACAGAGATTGAAGAAGGAAAATATGTGTCAGACTTGTTAAGTTGGAACACGATTGCTGTTTTCAATAGAGAGGTCTGGAGTTGTGCTGCTTCTGGTGCTTCTGGTAATTTGAATCCTCCAACCATTCTGTAAGAGAAAGAGTCAGTCTCCTCCTGTGTGCCAGCCTTAAAAAACCACAGAAAGTTAAAAAACCACAGGAGTTGGTTCTGCCTCGATGGCAAGGAGTTGAGTCAAATAATAAAATAATACAAAGAATTTGAGTTTACCTTTCATCCAGTTTCACATAGGGTTAGCAACCTGTATAACTCTGCAATATTATTATTAAAATGAGGAAATTAACTAATAAAATTTCATCATTTATCCCATGAATATCTTTTTATCCATGTCAACACTTTTATCAATAATTTTATTCTAATTGATAGTGTATTATATTGGAACTTGATGAACATCTTCAGGTTTGATGAATTAACACATTGGCTGTAGCAGTGAGCTCAAACCTAGCAATTGTGAGGATGGCACAAGACCAGGCAGTGCTTGATTCTGTTGTACCTAGTCAGTCTGAGTCAGAACCAGTGTGGCACCTGACAACAACATAGTGGACTATACCCTGGCGTGTATTGTAGAGTAAATGGAATAATTTTTAAGCTAAGTGTGAAAGGTAACTACTTAACAGTATTTCTCTGGAAAATTCTAAACAAACTATATCAAATGTGTGTAAAACATAGGCTTTGTTAAACAAAACTCATGAAAACCAAATTGGAAAGAGGTTTTCTTGATCACTTAGAGAAAGAATAATGAATCCGTTTAAATACTTGTATAATAAATCTGGACATTTGTAATTTATTGAAATGCATAGAGTGAATTCCCAGAAAGGGCTTGAATTTGAATTAACATGTCCATCTAGTTCAAGGCTGGAAACAGCAAATGTCTCTATCAAGGAAAATTAGAATTCTTCATTAGAAGAATAGAAAAAAGGTCGGCTACAAGCCCCACATGTGGCGGAGCGGGGCGAGACGTGCTGCACATTGCGAGTGGCGAGTGGCTTGCTGGCGCCAGGATGAACCTGACCCCGCCGCCCGGGTCCCCGCGGCCCGGCTTGGCTGCGCCCCACAGGGGCCCGCCGACGATCTTGCCAGTAGTGGAGCTGAACGTGGAGGGTGAGTTCTACACCACCACAGTGAGCACCCTGAGAAAACTCCCGGGCTCAAAGCTGGCAGAGATGTTCTCCAGCTCAGCCAAGGCCTGCATGGATTTGGAGGGACACTATTTCATTGATCGCCCAGACACCCATTTTGGACCCATCCTTGACTTCCTGCGCAGCGGGCAGCTACCCACCCAGCACATCCCTGAGGTGTACAGGGAAGCCCAGTTCTACGAAATCAAGCCTTTGGTCAAGCTCCTGGAGGATACTCCGAAGATCTTCGGAGAGCATGTGGCTCGGAAGCAGTTTCTGCTGCGGGTTCCAGGCTACAGTGAGAACCTAGAGCTCATGGTGAGCCTGGCGCGCAGAGGCCATAGCAGCCCGCAGCTCCAGAGTGCTGGTGTGCGCGGTGCGCAAGGAAGAGGATGCTATGCACTGCGTTGATACCCTGTGCACCCTGGAGGCCAACAAGATGTCATTGGTCAAGTTCTGGCCCTGGAAGGCTGCGCCAGACATCAAGGACCTCCTGGACTGTGTAAAGATGGACATTGAAGCCAAGGGGTACCAGGTATCTTATGAGTACAACTCATACCGGGGCAAGGCAGTCAATTACTTCTATACTTTCCTCTTCACCTGGTGTGATCCCTGGATTAGAAGTGGGAGCTGCTTACTGTGGACTCTGGTGGGACTTATCAAATTAGAAGTTATAATGAAAATCCATTTCCCCAACTTGGTCTTTTAGGATCCTTGCCCCCAAATATTTGAAGATTTTCCACTCTTGAAAAGACTTCCCCTTGATTGCACCTTGCCCCATCATACTTGCCTAGTCGAATGAAGGTTCAGCCTTTTCAAGTGCCTTATGCCCTTCTTTTGAAGTTCAGTACCCAGGCTGAGACAGAAGGTTTCAAATGACAGAAGATAACAACAGGACAATGACACAGGACACTAAGAGCCTAGATAGTCTGACTTAAGAATGTAGTCTTCCGAGCCATACCTGCAGCCCAGCTGGCTCCTGGTGCAGTAATTGGCTGGCTAGCTCCATAATGAAGATGATGCCAAGTTATTACCTGTAGGAGATGGTGCTCAGCTATCCATTATACCAGATGCTGTTAGTGTTGGCAGCTCCAGCTTCACGTCTAACCCAGGGCTTCCCAAAGTATGGTCCCCAAATCCCTGGATCAGCAGCATTTGTGTCACTTGGCAACTTACTGGAGATACAAATTCTCAAGCCCCGACTCTGAACCACAAATTTTAGGGGTGAGCCCAGCAATCTGTTTTAGCAAAACGTCCAAGTGATTTTGGTGCACTCTCATTTTTGAGACTTGATTGCTCTAGAAGATAGCTTCCCTCAGCTAATAGGAGCTGCCTTGTTTACAGGGCGGTATGGAAACAGGTCCCTTGCCTCAGGATGAACCAATTCAGGTGAAGTTCCTTTTGTAGAGCTCTTCATGAAT